GCGCCGGCCCCCCGCCCCGCGGCCCCGGGCCCCGGCTCCGGCGCCGTCCCTCCTCCCGGGCCGGGCGCCGCGGCCCCGGTATGAGGAGCGGGCGATGATCCCTGCCAACGCCTCCGCCAGGAAGGGGCCCGAGGGCAAGTACCCGCTGCACTACCTCGTGTGGCACAACCGCCACCGCGAGCTGGAGAAAGAGGTCCGCGCCGGCCAGGTGAGAGCGCCGTCGGGGCGCCGCGGGGACCCCACGGCCGGGCACGCCCGTCCGGCGTGGGGAGGGGGCGCGGCGCGGGTTGTCCCGCCTCCCCGGCGAGTTTGCAGCGCTTCTTTGTTTGCAGCCGTGGCTTTTGTGTTTGTTGACCGAGAGAGGGTGATGGGAGCGGCCCGTGCCCGCTCCCCTCCGGCCGGGACCCGCGGGCCGCACGTGTTTCGGACCCTCCCAGATTGGGGTAGGGGACACTGTGGTCTTCTTCCGCCGGGGCAGTGACGGCTGCAGGGAGGGGCCGCAGGCTCGGTCCGTGTTCCATGTGGTGGGAGAGTCCGTCCCACACAGTTGAGCGGCGATACCTCCCGCGTGAGGGGGCGGAGGTGGGGAAGGCCTGCGTGGGGAGGAGGCCACAGGTCAAGGATCAGAGAATAGGCTGTGTGACACTCCCAAGCATCCCAGCCCCACCCAGTGCCCTCTCCCCTCCTGGTGAGCGCTTTCTGTTTTTGCTCAGACTGGGCAGTGCCCCTGGATCCCTCAGACCCCAGCCCCGCTCAGGAAGGGGGAGCAGAGAAAGACCCTCTTGGAGAGGCCCCAAGCAAGGGCCTTGTCCAAGTGCTGAAAGGCGCTCTCTTGCCCTCTGGGGCTGGGGCCTGGCTTCAAGGCGCTGAGGAAGCTCGTGGCCACTGGCCACAGACATGGCTTGAGGTTCTGCGTGCCGAGTGGGCTCCTGGTTTCTGCTGGTCAGGGAGGTTGGGTGGATCAGTCAGCTTGGGGCTGGGCAGTGGCCTCCAAGAAAACAGGGGAAGGGGTGGAGTCTCCTGGCCATTCTTTGGGACACAAGTCAGTTTCCAGTTCTGCCCTTGGCACCCAGGCCACAGGTAGGCACTCATGGCACAGATGACCCACCCTCCAGGGTGGGCAACAGGAGCCAGAGCTGGGCCCAGTCTGCCTTGGGTCGCCTGGGGTTGGGACCTCCAGACTTGGCCTGGGTCTGAGATCTTGGGGCCATGGGCTGGAAGAGGTTAGCTCAGGACTAGCCCCCTGTGTGGTGGGTGTACCTTCTGAGGGCTCCTTCCTGAGTTGCAGGAAGTTCAGTCTGAGGAGCTGTCCCATTGCCAAGGGAGGAGTGGAGGTGGAGGGCAGGACATCAGACGCTGGGCAAGGTGAGGGTCAGGATGTGTCTCTGAAGTTCACCACTAAGCCCCCAAGCCTGTGCATCGGCCACCTCTGCACACAGGTCCCAGGAAATATTGAGGTGACCTGTCTGCAAGCCTCTGGGCCAATCTGGGTATCCACTTCCTTTCTACCTTTGCTTATGTTAGGATTCTTCAAGTTTCTTCTCAGACCATGCATGCCTCTGTTTATCTGCCATAAAGGAAGTGGCTTGCAGTGAGGAGAGGCCTGGTGAAGGGAGTGAGGTCACAGGGCCCTGGGGCAACAAAGATGAATAAACAAGGCACCAGCCCCTGCCCTCAAGGAGACTCTGTTCTGGTGATGCACGTGTGAGCAGGGAATTCTAGTGCGACGTGCACAGTGCTAAGACTCGAACAGTCCAGTCTCTTTGGGCCCTTCTCTGCTTTTCTCCCCTGAGGCAAAAGAAGACAAGATTCTGGCAGAGGTTGCAGCAGGAAGGATTGAAGCCTGATCTGAGAGGAACTTCCCAAAGGTCCAAGGATTGTTAGGCAGAAGGCTAAACCTCAGAATGCCTGAGTATCACTCCCTTGACTGAGGGTGGGCGGTTCTTTTCCTGCAGAGACTGGAAAGAGGCAAAATGCCCTGGAAGAAAAGACTTTTTCATCTAGGCATTTCTGCTGATAGTCCTAAAGTCAGCAGCCATCTTGCTGGGGTAGGGTTGGGGTGGCGAGCCCTGGGGCTGCTGCAGGTAGCAGGAGTTTGGGGCTGCTGTGTATGTTCCTCTTCCCCTTCCCTCAGGCTGCCACAGAAACCAGGTACCAGCTTCACCCCATCCCTGCCCTGGTGAGTTAATGTCTCCTTGAAATGGACACCGCCTGCCCTGGATCCAGGCCAGGGGGAATATAGGGCACCGGTTGAAGTTAACCCTTGTTCAGCCACAAAGGAGCCAGACCAGTCCTCTTCTTCCCTGAGGGAGGCCAAGAAGGGGAATGCCAATCAGTGTGGGTGGGGGCGGCCCCTGGTGTACCCCATCTCCAGGACTGACCCAGCGTGAGGCTGGCGTCAGATGTGCTCTGCTACTCCTCAGGGCATTAAGCTGTTTCCTGCAGGGGGACTGACCTGGGGGCAGCCACCTAACATCTTGATGAAAGCCCTGTAGGACCCTGGCATCCCAGCTGGGGGTCGCTGACCGCTGGTCCTCCTGGCACCAGCCGCCACAGAAGACAGCCAGGTTTTGCTCAGGCACTCAGCGGCTGGGCTTCCCTGGTCTCGCTTAGGCAGAGCTGCCTCTTCTTCACTCCTGCAAAGCCCCGCAGAGGCCCTCCCGTGGGCAGGCTTGGCAGTGCCGCCTGGCTGAGGAGGGGGATAGCATGGCAGCATACAGCGCAGGTTAATGGGCTTTGCCCAGCCCCTTAATAGCTCTTCTGGGGGCTGGAAGCAGGGATTGGTGACTAGGTAGGAGGTGCTTGGGTGAAGGGAAGGGACTGAGACCACCCCTAGCTGGCACCCAGCAGTACTGTGGTTGCTGGTGCCCTGCTTGCTACCATACACCTACCTTGCCAGGTTGGGGGGTGGGGACGAAGGGTTGTAAGCCAGAGGATGTGCCAGTTCCCCCTTTCCTGGCACAGCCTGAGATTGGCACAGCCAGCTGGGCACAGCCCTGGCTCTAGAATCACGAGTCCCTGGTGTTCCCTGGGGGTAGGGGAGCGGGGGTGAGACTGCACAGCTCTCCGTGGGAGGGCACAGGTGTAGGGAGGGCTCGGGGAACCAGATTCTTCCCCTGGCAACGGCAACCCTGAAGGGGGCAGACTGTGGTCCCAGGGAAACATTTTCTTTCTTCCTGGGGCTGCCTCCACCGTGGTCCTCCTTCCTGCCTTCCCTATTAATTCTTCTACCTAGAGGCAGGCGAGATGGGGTTGTGGATGCTCAGGGAGTACCTGTGACCCACCCCAGCAAAGTGGGCAGTCCTGGGTGTGGGGCACCACAACTGGTAAGCTAGGAAGCTCAGGAGAGCGAGCCACAAACCCCAGAAACCAAAAATCAATGTGTTCTGGGACAAGGGGGAGGGGCTGCACGGGGCAGGATTGGGGGGTGAGGTGGAGGGGGAAGGCAGAGGGTGCTGCCCTCGTCCACCCATAGCTGCCCACTCAGCTGGAGGAAGAATCCTGTGTCCCTCCCCTCGAGTGAGCTCAGGCATACCCGTCCCTGTGCCCCAGGTTGGAGAGCTGGAAGCAGTGACCAAGCAGCTGTCTTCCCTGGGGCTGGGGCGGGGCAGAGCAGGCAAAGCCCCCCGCAGTGCTGGGCCCCTCGCCCTCCCTGTCCAGCACCCATGTTCAGTCTATAGGTTTGGTGTGTGCTGATAAGATTTCACTTAACAAAAGGATTCTGCCAATGCTGAAGGAGTTTGAAAAGAGCCCTGCTCACGCATGTGGGTGTGAGGGGTGTTCATGTGCAAATGTGCTGGCAGTGAACACGTGTGTTACACTCCAGGCGACTCCTGCAGAGCCAGAGGGCAGCTCGCTGTGCCCAGGGAGCCCCAGCTTTCCTGCGGCTGAGGCCTGCTCGGGTGAGGCTTCTCCATTCCCTTGGTGGGGAGGGCTGGTGTTGGTTTCATGGGAAACCTTTTCATTCCAGCAATTAAATGCTGTAGGCCTTTGCTGGGGAGACTAATGAATTTTCCCACCTGGGCACAGGGCAAGGTGCCGCTTGCGCTGCAGGTCTTGCTCTGGGCAGGTGGGGAGAGCTGATTTGGGGCTTGGCTGGGTATACAGGGGTCCACATTGGCCCTGGAAACGGGAGTGCCCTGGGGAGAGCTCCTGAGGAGTGAGGGTGGGGAGAGGCACCCCACTTGGCAAGGCAGTGCCAGCCTCTCTCTGGAGCCTGGAGCTGAGGCGCCTGAGGGGGCAGGTGGGAGGCAGCACCTGGAGCCCTGAGGGTGGGTGGTGTGCCCTGCCAGCTCCCTGGGGCCTTGTTAGCAGCAGCAGCATCTGGGGCAGGGCTGGGGGAGGCCCAGGCTCAGCTGCAGCCCCAAGGGAAGGCCTCCCCAACTTCCCCAGCCAACTCAGGGTCTGTGGCTCCTCCAGCACGCCCACCCAGGGCCCAGGACCCCATCCAGGGTGCGACCCCAGGGGCCCAGCCCAACCCATGATAGGCAAAGAGTAAATCATGCCACCCTCCCACCCCCACTCCAGAAAGCCAGTGCAGAGGGGCAGCAAGGGACGCCTCACATTTCCCAGCCACCACTCAGAGGTCAAGGGGGAATAGGCACACTTTTTTTTGAGGCTCCTAGTGTATTTAAAAATGAAGAAATGCCAACGCAGGGTTATAAAAATTATATAAATAATTCTGAATTATTTAAAATGTTTTATTTTTGACAAAGAGGTTCATCCTTGTGCTTTAAAATATTTAACTGGTGCTAGAAGGTGTCTAATGAAAAGCAGTGTTCCTCGCTCCGCCGCTGCTGCCTCCCCAGGGACGACCACTTGAACACTTGGGCTCTTTCTTCTGTTATGCCTCCACAATTATAAACAGTCTATTTCTGCAACTATTTCTTGGTTTGTATGTTTTACACTTCATTCCCTTCCCCTCCTCATGGCCCCTCAATACAGACCTCCATGCATTTGCTTAAGAAATATTTAGAAGTGCCAGTTATGTGCCAGGGGCTGGGGACCCGCTGTGGGGCTTACCTCTAGGTGAGGGAGACGATGAGAAAATAAACAAGCAACTAAGTGTTGGGAAAGAACCGAAGCAGGATAAGGGGCCATAGATAGATCAATAGCAGCTGTCATCTCAGATGAGTTGTCAGGCAGGCTTTTCTAAGGAGGTGACATTTGAGCAGCAACCTCAAGGAAGGGAGGGAGAGAGCTCTGCAG